AGCATTCACCGCTTCTGGAGGCAGGTTGTTCCACTGGTTAATTGTTCTAACTGTCAGGAAGTTTCTCCTTAGTTCTAGGTTGCTTCTCTCCTTGATTAGTTTCCATCCATTGCTTCTTGTCCTGCCTTCAGGCGCCTTGGAAAATAGCTTGACTCCCTCTTCTTTGTGGCAGCCCCTGAGATATTGGAACACTGCTATCTCTTCATTAAACTAGACATATCCAATTCCAGCAACCGTTCCTTATATACTTTAGCCTCCAGTCCCCTAATCATCTTTGTTGCTCTTCTCTGTACTCTTTCTAGAGTCTCAGCATCTTTTTTACACCATGGTGACCAAAACTGGATGCAGTATTCCAAGTGTGGCCTTACCAAGGCATTGTAAAGTGGTATTAATACTTCACATGGTTTGATTCTATCCCTCTGTTAATGCAGCCCAGCACTGTGTTGGCCTTTTTGGCAGCTGCAGCACACGGCTGGCTCATATTTAAATGATTGTCCACTAGGACTCCGAGGTCCCTCTCACAGTTACTACTATTGAGCAAGGTACCCCCTATACTATAGCTGTGCATTTGGTTTTTCTTGCCTAAATGTAGAACCTTACTTTTTTCACCATTGAATTTCATTTTGTTAGATAGCGCCCAGTGTTCAAGTCTGTCCAGGTCCTCCTGTATCCTAAGCCTGTCTTCTGGAGTGTTGGCTATTCCTGCCAGCTTGGTGTCATCTGCAAATTTGATGATTTCCCCATCTATCCCCTCATCCAAATCGTTGATGAAGATGTTGAAGAACAAATCCAAATTTCAACTGAAAGTTTTTAATTTAACAACAAACTATTTCTTTCATCTCTGTCTATCTGTCTGTCTGTCTCTGTCTGTCTGTCTCTCTCTCTCTCTCTCTCTCTCTCTCTCTCTCTCGTGTGTGTGTGTGTGTGTGTGTGTGTGTTTTGCTTCTGAGTCAGCTTTGACACGTGGCGATTGCCTGGGCAAGCCCATGAGGCATAAAACTGCATTATAGAATAGAAAATTCAAATTTGAAATAAAAGCGCAACCACGTAAATTGCCTGTCTTTGACACTTTAGCAAAAAGGTGTCAGTTTGGATCAACAAAACAGTAAGACGTTGAATGCTTTGATTCCAAATGGCACAAACAGCAATTATTCTGTCAGTGCTTTATCACCATGGCATCTGAATGCAAATAGTGCTGGGAAATTAATAGTTAACTGGCTATAATAGACAGAGAAAATATCTTCTTACCTGTGCCTCTCCCAAATCATTATTTACCACAGTAAAGTTCAGCCCAAGTTCTTCTACATCGCCTTCATAGCTCTTAAGAAAAAGGAGGTTTTTGTACATTTCAGGATCCAGAGATGCCAAATGATGAATGTCGACATCAGCACTTGTCCCGAGCAACTTGGAGAGGAAAAAACCGGCGAAAGGAAGCTCAACCAGCATATTTTCATATAAAGCCTTTAAAAAAGTATATAAAGAGATTGAAAATCACTCATTTGACATTCATCCAGAAACAGAACAGGAAACACATGATTTCATTTCCTATGCCTGCTAAAAAGCTCATGGCCCAAATGTATATACAATATTCAATGATCTTTATTCAGTCAGTGATCATCAAAATGAAACATATATACACAATATGACCAATGATAGCATTGCACAAGAAAATTAAGGACATGTAGCAGAAAAAATATAATTCTAAAATTACATTTTTATTCTTAAGTTTAACTATTTACAGTAAAAATGTATGTGAGGGTGGAGGTTCGTTCTCGGAGCTTCGGAGAACAAACCTCCACCCTCATATACATTTTTACTGTAAATAGTAAAAATACCCGAGCTATTGGTATTCGCCACTATTGCAAAAAATGTATATGCATTTAGTCCTATTTTATATGCAGCAATCCTACATAAAAGGGAGTTGGATTTTGCATTATGTAAATTATGAAAAATTGCAAACCCGTTCTTGTTATTCATAGCTTATTCAGCTCCAGGGACTCATAGAAAGAAGCAAAAGAAAAGTTTAAGCTTGAAAAAATCCACCTGATTAAAACCATATCATATTTTTTCCCTTTTAGGCTTTATTTTTTCAGTCTAGATACTATATTCAATCCTATCTCCATCTATAAAAAATTCTATAATATGTATCATAATTTCTATAATTGTATTTACAATGTTGTTCTTAATAATTGAACCTGATTTAAGTATGGCCTCTCTCTCTCTCTCTCTCTCTCTCTCTCTCTCTCTGTGTGTGTGTGTGTGTGTGTGTGTGTGTGTGTTCAAGTCAACTCAAAATAGAGTTTTTTCTTACGTATCACATAGTACACACTTCACACACAAAAAAATATTGTATTTATTTATGGATTCAAAATAGGTTTTTGGGGAAAACTTTTAGCCATTTTCTAAGATGTGTACGTAACAACAGCTTTCAGTTTAACTCTGAACAGACCAAATAACACTGTGGCTTTGCTTTTAATTCTCTGTATTACAGGCATATATTGGAAATGAAAAGCTATCTCCTATTATTTCCAATCCCACTCTTCAAAATTTCTGCAAGAAAGATCAAGAAGAAGCTGAACTTTATTACAAACATGTAATATAAGCAAAGGGCATCTATTGATGTCATATCAAATATATTTTGATACCTAGCTGCAGTGAGGAAGTTTAGATCTACCATCACCAGGAAAGTGCAAACAATAAGGCAAAACTAAGGAGATATTACAATAATGCAAATACCGGATTTTTAATAAAACCATGACAAAATGAAACCTTCATCTAGGTAGCTGAATTTAAATTTGTAGTCATTGTTTTGAGTTTTAAATCAGTAAAAGATGAACCAAACACAAAAAGAGACACAAACTGCATTTAATATAGAATGTCACTTATAACTCATATATGTCTACCTTGGTACAATTCCTTTTTGTGCCTGTGTATATCTCAAAATAAAGCCTTTAAAGTAGCATTCCCCAATTGGATGCCCTCCAGGTGTTCTGAAAATTTCTGGGAGTTGCAATTATAATTCCTCTTGAGAGAATCAAGTTGGGAAAAGTAGCTTTAAAGCATTTAATATACTAGCCCTAATAAATGATGGTTCTAAATACTATGATCACATCAGCTAAATGGATTGTAAATTAAATTTCCATAATGTATGCAACTGAAATACAAATGTAGGCATAAATCAAGGTATTTTTTAAACACAGGTTAATTACACAGATTCAAGAACTGTCTATTTTTTATGCAAAATAATCCACTTACCATTTTTCATATGAGTCTTAATTCTTAGCCCATATGCAATACTGGCTCCTAGAAGCCTATCAATAACTTCATGTCAAGAGAAAATAGCAATAGGTATATTGAAGCAACCTGCTTGTTATTTCTCAAGTGTCTACCTTTTATGAGTGTTTATTGCTGGAAATTGTGCCAAAATGATTTGAAATAAAAAGGATTAATTATACTAGAAGCTTTTTAATATAAGTGAGTGCACTAGCAATGCAATTAATGCAAATTGTGGTACTATCAGGAGAATAAATGTGAACAACATCACAGGCCATTTCTGTTTGCTGCCAAATAACTTTAGTAATTTACTACATTAAGAATCAATAAAAAAAATAATGCTTTTCAAATGCATCTCCATCAATCTTCAGGTAACTCCATAGCAAACATTTATAACTTAATCTAAAAACTATATAAAGCATTTTTAGGCCACCTGGATTGTGGAAACTGGACTATCATTTAATTAAATACTGATTTCCATAGCCAGATTCCTCCAGTATATTTAAAAAGCAAGAACATTAAAAATACACAGTAAGATGGATAGTTAATATTCTAATTAGTGTAAAAGCTAAGTTTTGCAACATGCACCTCTCAAACGTACAATCATTCTTTGTTAAGTTAATCACACTTGAGCTCTGTACTTTTCTGATGGGGAGGGGTATGGTTGCGCACAAACAGCACAAATGCCCATTTTTCTGGAGTTTTATTGGCCAAATCAGTCATGCTTTGAAAACATCCCCTTTTCTAATTAAAACATACTTGAAAAGAAGCTTTACATTAATGAACTTCTGCCTGCCCAAGGGGCACAGTTTAAACTTTTTAATGCAATTTGTTTTCAGCCTTAGATCCAGAATGCAGAGATAGGAATGTACATATTATTCCTACTCTCAGTGCTTCTGAAACAGCCAAGGATTGCTTGCACATAGATCCATAGTGGATCCATTCAGCATAATTCAGGAGAGTCATAGGAAATTTAAAGATGTGAGTCACCATTTATTTAGAAATGATCTATATAATCTGCAGCTGAATGAGGAGTTACTAAAGTTACCACGAATGCCCCCAAAGGTCCTTCCAACTCAGTTCAGAAGTTCCCATGGCTGCCCCTACCAGCACGGTCACATGACCCCACTTTAAGTGCTCGGCAACCAGCTTGCATTTAAGGCCATTTGCAACATCCAGCAGTTGTGTGACAGCAATTTATGACATTTTGCCAAAAAACCTGACATTTATTTCCAGTTTCAGCAAAAACTGAACATAGCAAATGATGGCTTCGCTTAACAACCACAGCGTTCACTTAATGGCCATGGCAATTACTTAAACAAAGACAATGGTCGCTTAGTGACCTTTGGAAAAAAAAAGCTTTAAAATAAGTTCAGTCATGTGATCATCCGCCTTATGACGGTGATAACTTAAAACTATAATTGCTGGTCTGTATAGGTCAGTGGTGGCGAACCTATGGCACGGGTGCCAGAGGCGGCACTCAGAGCCCTCTCGGTGGGCACGTGCGCTGTCGCCCAGTCCTAGGCCTTCAGCTGGCTTTTATAAAACCTTTTTGCTTTAGGCCTCCGCCGCCATGTGCAAAAAAAAAAAAAAAGTTCAATCAGTCAATTTCAACTTCTCGTGGGGGAAAAAAAGCTCTTGCAAAGTTGGAATTTATTGAAATTTTTAATCCCACCCAGTCTGCCGTTACCACCACAGCCACGCCCACCCAATGGGCCACACTTACCCGGCACTCGATGATGCATACGTGGGTTTTGGGTTGCAGTTTGGGCACTCAGTCTCTAAAAGGTTCGCCATCACTGGTATAGGTTCTATTTGGGATTTTAAAATGCACCCACACAATTCAATCAAGGCATTTAGGATGGGTGGGGATCACTACAAGGAAAAGTAGTTATCTTTGCACGAGACAGCTCCCAACCATTTTCACTGCAATCAGTCTTCAAAATACAGATAGTGCTCGACTTACGACAACAATTGAGCCCCAAATTTCTATTGTTAAGTGAGTTTTGCCTCATTTTATGACCTTTCTTGCCTTGATTATTAAGTGAATCACTGTAGTTCATAAGTTAGTAATCGGGCTGTTAAGTGAATTTGGCTTCCCCGTTGATTTTGCTTGTAGAAAGTCGCAAAAGGAGATCACATGACCCCAGGACACTGCAACAGTTATAAATATGAATTTATAAATATGAATTTTGATCACACGATCAAAGGGATGCTGCAAAGGTCATAATTGCAAAAAACGTTCATAAGTCACTTTTTTCAGTGCCGTTGTAACTTTCAGTGGTCACTAAATGAACGGCTGTAGGTCGAGCACTACCTGGACTTCCTCTTGATCCATCCTTTTTAGTGACTGAGAGAGCATTTCTGGGAGAAAGTGATGGAGATGGGGAGCCAGATTCTACAACCTTAAGGAGTTGATTGTGAGACAATCTTTTTATTTTGAAAGCTACATCTTATATAAAACAGATCAAAGCTCCCTAATTCCTACGTACTAGGCAAGCTGAAAATATAAAAATGAATGCTATCATAAGAGAATTCCGAAGACACTGTTTGATATAACCAGAACAAAAAGCATATAAAAAAAAAGAATACTAAGGTCATAATAGACGAAGCAAAATTATCCACAAAGTTAGAATCTCCTCAGCTGCAAAATTTCAAGAGAACAGAATGTAGCTATGCCAGATATGCCAAGAAAAGCTTTCTAATTTTAGCAAAAATAGAGTTCTCCTACATAACATTCAGATTAACGAAACTGAGCTTCCTTATTCTGTTTTCAAAAATATTTTTACTGGATAACAAATATTAAAGTACACACACATTTCACAGCAATCTACTCATATTCCCAAAAGATGAGGCACAAAAAGTTAGAATGTGTGCTTTGCTCACGCCAGGTTCACTTTAATCTTTACCATTTTCAAAATAACAAAACCATCAGTTAAGAAATAACGACACCCAAACCCAACTTGCTCTGATCTACCACACACTAGCAACAAGAGAAAGTGTATTTGTTGCCTTACATAAAACAAAAATTGCTTGACACATAAACAAAAAATAAGAATAACCTGATACTTCCATTATGATATATACAGGTAGTCCTCAACTGAGAACAGTTTGTTTAGTCACCATTAGAAATTATAATGGCACTGAAAAAAGAAACTTATGACCATTTTTCACACTTACGATGGTTG